TTTACTTTTACTTTCACTATTTAAGCGGAGTTTATTCTGGATACACGCTAACCAAAACCACACATCCACAAAAACCATCTATATTATTACAAACTATTAGGTCATGTTTGATTCATAAGACTAATAGTGAAGTATTAATAATCCTATTAAATTAGTGTAGTATTCATCATCCAATTGGATTAATATCCATTGGATTAATAATCTCACTCCTACCCCATTACTAATAATCCTACAAATTTGTTGGATTAATTATCCATTGGATTAATAATCCTAAACCAAAATGTTAAAACAAACATAGGATAATTGGGTTCACAGATTAATTATCTCAATCCCATACTCTAATCCACCCAATCAAACATGCCATTAGCGTATTATTTTTACTATAAATCTACAAGTCTACTGTCTCAGAAGAATTTATCCGAAATTTTTTGAGTTTTTTGGGAGCCTAAGATAAAATCAAAAAAAGGGGCCTATGTTCATAAAAATAAAAATAAAAAATCAAAATATATCCATTCTAGAGTACCAAAAAAAAAAAAAAAGATACCAAAAGGTATAGTTTAAATTAACAAAACAAACTAATTTAATCAACAAATCTAATTAATGAAATGTTACAGCATTGTGAAGCAAACATAAATGATTTCACATTGTATAAAATTGAAGAGTGGATAATAATTTGAGTAATGCTAAAAACGCCAAAAATTTTACCAAAAATTCTACCAAATGTGTCACATGGGTGTGAGACCCACACAATGTCGGTCCCATGTGGATCCCACACTCATGTGAGACATTTGGTAGAACTTTTAGTAGAATTTTTGGGATCTCTAGTATTTTTGTAATAATCTTATTTCACCAGTAGTGTGAAGTAAACATAAATGAAAAGGAAAAATGACTATATAATCAATTTTCCATACAAAATACACAATCCACTCATTGTCTGATATCTAATAGCAAATAAATTATGGAACACAATTTAATGAAACAAAATTAAGCCAAAAAAAAAAATGGAATTTTATTCAATTAAAATATGATAAAGACATAGGGTAAAAAAATTAGGATAAAATTATTTATTCCATTAAAATCTAATAGTTTATGAGAGAGAGAAATTAGGACAAAATTATTTATTTCATTATTTGAGCCAACTACACTTGTATATGTTTTAAGGGATTTTTGGTGAAACCCCCCTTTTGGACCTTTTTATTAGGGCAAAGAACACAACTCTCAAAAGTACTCAAGGAGTGACAAATGTGGAAGTGTAACAACATTATAAGCACTGAAATTAGGTATGAAATGATGCCAAATCATCCAAACAATACAAGCATGGCATGCTAGGAGGCTCAAAGCTTGAAACTAGCATAGGCACTTGCACTATAGCTATGCAATACATGAAGCATATAGCCAAGGCAACCCAAAACAATCTTAGAGCATGTCAAAATGATGCTAAAACATGTATGGAAGGAAGTCAAAATAAGCTAGCATGGTGAGCATGAAACATGAAATGTGCGAGGCCAAAAGGGAGGATTACACTACACCTACTAAGACCAAGCACGAGATGACTTCACCAACAAAATCAGAGTTATATCATGGCAAAATAACACCAAAAACACATTGAAATGATGGTCCAAAGGCCTAGGCAAGATGGCATACACAATGACTCATTCTTAAGGCATAAAGAACCAACCTTCCAAAAAGGCATAAAGGACCAACCCTCCAACGCATTGAAAGAGTGAAAGATGTGAGTGCATGACCATGAAAAATGCCCTGAAATCACCTAACAAATGATGTCAAATCATGAAAATAGCCCAAGTAATGCATACTAGTGACTTGGAAACTCAAAGCTAGTGAGCAAGATTGAACCATAGCTATACAAAGCAATGCATGTATGACCCAAAACACTTAAAACAGAGCTAGGGCATGCTAAAACATGGACAAAAGCTTGCTGGAGTTAAGCCAAGATCATACTAGAATGGTGGTCTAAAGCATGATACACATTAGGCCAATGAATGGAATTGCACTACAAGTGCATAGAGCTTTCAAAAGGCTATCAAACCAACCTTAAACAGAGGTATAACATGGCAAAACAATACCAAGAACATGTTGAGATATGGCCAAAACATGCTAGAAATACATGCTCAAACATGAGGCATACAAAGCTAGTTTGTGAGAATTACATTACAAGTGTAAATAGCATGCAAAAGGTGACTAAACCAAACCAAAACAGGGTATGCTATGCTGAGATAAGGCCAAATACATGCTAAGACGAAGCCAAAACAAGCTTAACAAACATGCCACTTTGATGAGCCATCTATACAAGCATACAAGACACGAGGAGAGGGGATGACCCTCTCCTATTTAAGACCTCAAAATACACTTTCCACCACTGAAATTCCTTTGGAATTCAGTTGTAGAAAGGTCATGCAAGGGCTAAAACAAAAGCCTAAAGTGATGGCTCAAAACAAGGCCAAACAAGGCCCCTATTGGGGGTAGACCACCCCCAACACCAACAAGGCCTGAAACAAACATTCTTAATACCCAAAAATGAAGATTTTCATAGTTGAAAGTTAAGCCTAAAACAATATGCAAATAGGGCCAAAAGCTTAATAAAAAACAAGAGTTTAAGAGGTTAGAAGCTCACCCTTGTAAAACAACTTTAGAGCAACAACTCCAGCATTCTTTTTTGATTACTAGTACAAAAACACCAAAACCAACTTCAAAGTGCCTCAGCAACAAGAGTGTGGTGTTTCACTAGGTGTTTGTGTGCAAAAGTGTGAAGAAAAGGCACTTTTGAGCACAAACAAGCACAAATATGGAGAGAGAAGAAGAAATATAGAGAGAGATATATATATCTTTTGTATCTCAACTTTTCAGAACCTTTAGAAAGGGAGAGGGGTCTCCCTTCTTATAGAAAATCAAATCCTAAGCTTGTTGGACATGCTAAGGGTTTGATTCAATCCCTCCATACATGTGCATGGGGGATGAAATCTGTGCTCACCAGTTGTCACAGCTGGCACAAAAATATCTGCAAAAGTAAATAAAAAGGCCTTGGCCAAAAGATATGACCGATAGTCCAAAAAGAGTGCCGATCGGCCAAAAAGAGTGCCGATCGACCATCACTAATGGCCGATGACAAAAAAACATGGCCGATGAGCACAAGGCTTGGCCGATGGGTTGTAGGGCTGGCCAACAAGCTACCCTCTTCCCTCAGAAACAAAACCACAAGTCCTTGGTCCACAACCAAGCACAAAACAGACAATTTGAGAGGTTCTAAGGCAAGGCGCGCAGCCCAGACCTTCAGGAACTCAAAACGAACACAAGCATGGATGATCATCGAGTGTTCAAACGATGACGTATAAGTCTTGAGGACGGTCAAAAATGGGGTTCCTACAATAACCCAATCAACTTTCTTTCAAAAAGCCCCTGAATAGGAAATGCCTACCTTTATAAGGACATTTTATAATTTCTATTTTTTTTATCACAATATTGCCCTCCTATATATACGTATCATATATTTGAAATATTTGAAATCTGAGCTGAAGATCTCGCAGGAACGAAATTAGAAACGAAATCGATGAAGACAATCTCCAAATTTGAAGATCTCGTAGCCGAAGATCTCTCACTTGGTCAACAATAGACGATCTCGCCACCGACGATCAACACTCTCAATTAAACAAGAGTTTCATTGAGATTTGTGACTGTTGATCGAGTTTTAGAGGTTTTTATTCTCAATTAGGTATGCTGATTTGTTGATTAATTTTTTTTGTTTTTTTTAATTTATTTTTGTTGGTTTGATCTGATTTCGTTTGACAGAATTAGAGTAAAATTTTACTCTGGTTCTATTGCTCTATTTTTTGTTTCAGAGAATGAGAGTAAAATTTTACTCTGATTCTATTGCTCTATTTTTTGTTTGAGAGAATTAGAGTAAAATTTTACTCTGGTACATGCTTTGTTTAGAATGAGAGTAAAATTTTACTCTGTCAAGAGGTGGTCATTGCCAAACACTTCAATCGCCACAAACACTGCCTCTGCTGACGTTGATCATGTTTGTTGCAACTTTTGCTTAGGTAAAATATCTTAGATAAGCAAAATTTTTGATTATTGAGAAGATAGGGGAGACATGTTGTTTAGCTTATGCGTTTTAGTTATCAATTTTTAACTAGCAAAAAATTACACCAAACAAGTTCATTGTTTGCAAATAATACCATTTCTATAAAGTACAAATTTACTATGTTGTTGAATGGTTGTCTATAGGTGTGATGAGCCTGTGGTTTCACAGTAAAATTTTACTTTATTTCAAAGAAAAATGTTACTTTTAGATTAAAATTTTACCTTATTTCAGAGTAAAATTTTTTACTTTTGTGCAGAGTAACATTTTACTCGTTTTTCAAAGTAAAATTTTACTTTTACATTCAGAGTGTTACATTTTACTCGTTTTTTAGAATAAAATTTTACTTTTAGATTCAGAGTCTAACATTTTACTCAATTTTCAGAGGAAAATTTTACTTTTAGATTCAGAGTAACATTTTATTCGTTTTTCAAAGTAAAATTTTACTTTCAGATTCAGAGTGTAACATTTTACTCTTAGATTCAGAGTGTAACATATTATTCTTATTTCAAAGTAAAATTTTACTTTATACAGAGTAAAATTTTACTTTTATGCTGAGTAAAATTTTACGTTTAGATTCTTTTTGTAACATTTTACTCTTATTTCAAAGTAAAATTACTTTTAGATTCATGTCTGAAGTTGTGTTGGTGACACATTATATGAGTTGTCAATCTTTAGCAAACCAAATAGTAAAAATTATCTCTAAAATATAGTACAATGTTACACTAAACCACAGTAAAATTTTATCAATTCAAACCAAACACAAATTGACTTTTGGACTTGTAGTGACAGTAAAATTTTACTTTGATAGTGATAGTAAAATTTTACTTTGATAGTGACAGTAAAATTTTACTTTGATTGATAGTAGATTTTTACTATTGATTGATTGCAGATTTGTAAAATGGTTCCACCTCTTATGTTGTTATGCAAAAATGGTGATCATACCATTGTGTTCAAGGTTGTGTCAAACTCCGCATTGAAGGATTTAACTGATTTCTTAAGTTGTAAATTGAAGAAGTTTGACAGTAGTGGTTGCATACTGTTATCGTACTGTTTACCTGGACATTTGCAGTGCATGATTGATAATGATTCTGATTTTCAAAATATGTTGTCGCTTGTTTATCCCCTTGGTGTTGACCAGGTTGATGTGACTATTACTGAAATGGGCATTTCAAATGAAACACATGGAGTTAGAGAATCAAGGGACGCTAGTGGATCCAACATTACTGATGATGAAATGGATTTACTCCATATGTTTTGTCAACATGACAAAAGGACTTTGTTGTCTTGTGGATGGGTGAATGGAATTACTCATGTAGGTTAAAGATTTATTGGAGGTGCAAAGGATTTTCGGACTGCATTATGTAAATATGCCATTGAGATAGGATTTGGGTTTGTGTATATAAAGAATGAGAAGTGTCGGGTCATTGTTGTGTGTTCAATGCGGGAGTCCAAAGCTTGTTTATGGCGAGTACATGCATCTCTAGAAAGTGCTAATAATTTTTTCTATATTAGGAATCTACATGATGAGCATACTTGTGGAGCTGCAGTTCGTACTTCTAAAAACTCAAGGATGAGTTCAAATTTGGTTACAAGTTTGATTGTTAATGAAGTTCGTGGGAATCCCCAAACTTGTCCAATTGATGTTGTGCGTCAATTTACAGATCAATACGGGCTCACTATTACGTACAATCACGCCTGGTTGGGAGTTGAGAAAGCTAGGACTACTACTTTTGGAGATTTCTCTATGTCTCATGATGAGATTCGATGGTATATAGATATTGTGATGAGCACAAATACTGGTAACTATTTGCGTCTTGACTATAACCATGGTTCAAGAGGTTTTTTGTTGCATTTAATGCTTCCATTCAAGGGTTTAGACATTGCCGTCCTCTATTGTTTATCGATGGAACTTTTCTGAAGGGGAAATATAAGGGCACCTTGTTAACAGCTACAACGAAGGATCGAGATCAAGGTAGATATTACTATAGTTTATTCAAAAGTAACAAGTTACTTATTCTTAGAGTAACATGTTACTTATTTTCAGAGTAACATGTTACTGTTATTCAGAGTAAAAATCTACTATATTTGCCCTTTTCGTTTAATATACTTACTAATTGTAAAATGCTATTTTTCAGGTTTTTTTCCTCTTGCAATGGCAATTGTCGATACGGAGACTACAAACAGTTGGGAATGGTTTTTTATGCATTTGTCGAATATATTGTTGGATAAAAGACCAATTACCTTCATATCTGATCGGAACGCAGGACTTTTGGAGGCTTTACCCAAGGTTTTACCTATTGCTTACCACTATTTTTGTCTCCAACACTTAAAGGCCAATTTGAGAGATAGGTTCTCTGGTCCAAGTTTCAACAATACTTTTAGGAGTAGAATAGTTTTTTTTTGTTTTCTTCATGTGCTTATGCTCTGACAGTGGGATGTTTTAATCAGTGCTTGAAAGAATTACAAGATGAGGGAAAAGGGATCGTTTGTAGGTTTCTATCCAATTTTCCCTATGACAAGTGGACTAATGCAAATTTTAAAGGAAAAAAATACGGTGAAATGCACTCGAATGTGGCAGAGTCTTTCAATTCATGGATCCATCAAGCTCGTCATTTGCCCACTACGAAGATGATTGATTCAATTAGGTTGAAGATCATGGATTTGATGTTGAGAAGGAGAGAACAAGCTAAGAAATGGAATACTTTTCTTTGTCCGGAGATGGATTCAACATTAGTAAATGCTCTTAAAAGTGGATGAACTTGGTTGATTAGTTGTTCAAGTGATCACGTTTTTGAGGTTCAATCTCGGCCATCGGTTAGCGTTGACCTCTTGAATAGAACTTGCTCATGTTACCAATGGCAATTAAATGGATTTCTTTGTGCTCACGGGGCGACCGTTATCCAAAAGAGCGGAGGTGATTTGTATGCACATATGAAACCATTTTATTACACTAACAAGTTCAAAGCTTGCTATGCTGAGTCCGTTTATCCAATACCCACTGTTGAGAAACCTCTTGTAGCTATGGATGATCTTGTTGTCCTTCCTCTAATTTGCAAGAATCCACCTGGTAGGCCAAGGAAGAATAGGATTCCATCTAGGGGTGAGAAGATAAGACGAGTATAGTGTGGTAGATGCAAGAAGTACGGTCATAATAGGAAGACTTGCAATGAGACATTGCCGTGAAAGACATTATTGATTTTGTAATAGAAGTATAAAAATAATGCAGTTCTTCTGCAATAAATAGTCCATAGCAATAATAGTAGTCTTTTAGACTAGATTTGTAAGGAGACATTGCAATAAAAGACATTTTTACTATGTTCTTGAATGGTTGTATGTTCAAGTTTCTGATTTGCTTTGTGGTTGAGTTTGACATTTTAATATATTTTTTTAATGTGGTTGAATAAGTTTCATGTAAATGAACTTATAATGGAGTTTGTTCAATAGGTGTGAAGGTTTGAAATGGCTGTGCTCAGCCTGTGCTTTCAAAGTAAAATTTTTCAGTATTTTAGAGTAAACTTTTACTTTATTGCAGAGTAAAATTTTACTTTTGCCAGAATAAAACATTGCCTTCATTCACAAGAAAGTAAAACTTTACTGCTTTTCAAAGTACAAATTTATTATGTTGTTGAATGGTTGTCTATGGGTGCGATGAGCCCGTGGTTTCACAGTAAACTTTTACTTTATTTCAGAGTAAAATGTTACTTTCAGATTAAAATTTTACCTTATTTCAGAGTAAAATTTTACTTTTATAGAGGGTAAAATTTTACTTTTATGCAGAGTAACATTTTACTTTTTGATTCAGAGTCTAACATTTTACTCATTTTTCAGAGTAAAATTTTAGTTTTATACAGAGTAATATTTATTTTTGTACAAAGTAAAATTTTACTTTTAGATTCAGAGTGTAACATTTTACTCGTTTTTCAGAGTAAAATTTTACTTTCGTGCAAAGTCTAACATTTTACTAGTTTTTAAGAGTAAAAAAGATCATGAAGAAGGAAACAACACTAATAATACTAAAAATAAGTTAAATTAAAACTGAAGAAGAGGGAAACAGTTTAAATAAACATTAATAATAAAACTTACAATTGTTTAATGGAGTGAAATAAACAATTCTTCAAAATACATAACTTGAAAACGGACTTGAAAATAAAATTACAGTGATGGATTTTTCTCTTGAGGAAGGAATGCTCTAAATTTTTTCTAACTCTACCCTATTCTTGACTAAAGGGGCCTTTTTATAATCAAAAGAGACCACCACTGTTAGCCTTGTGAGTGATTGCTGTGAGCCTTGTGAGTGAATAGTCTTGACTTGAAAGGAGCATGAGAAGCACATGGGAGTTGTCTGCTGCTTTCGGTGAGTGACTAAAGCTTTTACTGTGGTGAATTTGTCAATGGGATGAATCATAATGAATGATGAATAGTAATGTTGACTTTTTGATGAATAGTGAACAGTAAAGTTTACTTTTTTACTATTCATTGCTTGGAGGCATGCGACTAAGGGAATCAATATAGATATATATATATATATATCAACAACTTTTCTCAAAAGACGAGTATTGATTGAAGCTGATAATTATAGCTATATAGAATCCAATGACTGAATTAAGCATATGGGTCCTGAGCATCTGGGAACTCGGGTCCATATGGATTTTGAGTAGTTGAACCTTCAGAAGAGTTTGAATTGTCTGAACCACCTTCTGAACTGCTATTATCCGAGTCTGATTTGGCTTGGGCCATGAGTAGACGAGCCATTTGGAGGAGCTCATCTTTGGATGACTTGGACTTGGGCTTAACCTTTGATTTGGATTTATCCTTTGGCTTGGGTGGTCAGAACTGGGCTTTGCTGACTTTGGATTTAATCTTTGATTTGGATGACTTGGGCTTGGAAGAACTGGATGATGGGCTTCCAAGATTGACTGGAGGAAGTTGGCTTCCTTGAGTGACTGGAGTAGTTGGGATCTGTTGAGCTTTAACCATAGCAGGTGTAGGAGCATGAATATTAATCGGGAACTCAATTTGAACAATTTCAACAATTCGTTGAATCTTGAAGTTATCCCACCATTTAACCTTATGTAGCCGCTGAATTACTTTACCAGAAATACCATATTGCCATTTGAATATCCAAGGGATCTTATGTTCGGATATAAAAATAAGCAATTGAGGGAATTCTCTTTGCTGTGGAGTGAATGAGAAAACAATGGAGAAGTAATTGACTTGATCCAAAATTATTGATGGAAAGATGTCTGGAATGGCACCATAATGGGTCCACCATCTCAGAAACCAAGTAGGTAATTCTGACTTAAACTTTTCATCAAATTGAAGAAACCAGGAGTGACTAAATGTTTCATTTTGATATAGGAGGACTTTGAACCAGGCATCAATATAATCATAATAATTATACTGAAGGGAGTGATTAGGTAAATCTCGAAGTTGATAAGGAGAACCCCATTCAACTAAGGAAACAATATTGTGAATATAAAGTGAATGGTAAACCACTTTACTAGTGTAAGTACGATCATAAATGGGTTTAATCACAATTGACTGATGGTTGAATAGGATGTCTTTATAGAAGGTGATTGTTTTCTCTGGATGGAGAGGAACAAAATGCCATCCAGGAGGGAAATAAGTTTTAACCAGATCATTAACAGATTGACTTTTTGGGTGACTAGGTTCTTTGAAAAAGAGATTAGTAGTTGTTGAGTCAACATAATTAGATCGAGCAGTTTTAATAGGATTAAGAGGGTATGGAGTAACTGCTTGGCTGGATGAAGCAAAAGGATCAGTGGCCAAAGCAGATGTGAAACTGGGTCGAGGAATATTACCAAGAACTTGGTAACGGCTAATCATTTCAATAGGATGGTATTGGGTGACTAACTTCAAAGGAGGAATAAAAGGTTGACTAGTTGGGACCAAGGCTTTAGAAGGGGGCCTTGGGTGAGACATCTGTTTAAAAAGAAACAAAGGTTAGCAATAAAGATTAGCAACCACTAAGGAGATCTAAATAAGTTTGATGAAAATCCAAACAATTGTAATAATCAGCAAGTAAATGACGACGAGCTTGAATTTGGTGGTACTGAATGTATTGAGCACGTTTAGTAGTTTTCCTGGCTAATTTTATCCGGGCAATGCGATAAGCAGTTTGGTGAATCAGATCACAGTAATGGGTAATGTGGGTTTTATGGTAAGCAATAAATGGAGTGGTCATCCCTATCCCCCCGGTAAAAATTCCCGGGTAAGGAAATCAGGGATGGAATTTTGACAACCAGGTATATATTCAATAGTAAAATCAAAATACTTAAAATAGATTGCCAACGGGCAAAAATTTTCTTATTAGCAAGATTTTGAACATCTTTTTCTAAAACATATTTAGCAGATTTGCAATCAACACGAAATAAAAATTTTTGATTTAAAATATTATCTTGAAATTTACTAATACATAAAACAGTAGATAAAATTTCTTTTTTAATAGTACTATAATTCTTTTGTGCTTTATTCCAGACACCAGAATGATAACGAACAAGTTGTTCAAATGACTGAGGAGTAAGTTGCTGGAGAAGGATGCCGCCATAACCGATATCAGAGGCATCAATTTGAATGAATTTTCAGTAGGAATACCAAGACAAGAAAGAGACTTGACATATTGTTTAACTTGTTTAACAATAGCAGTATGAGTAGAAGACCAAGGAGGAAGATTGTCTTCTAACCGATCAAACAGGGGCTGACAAGTTTTCCTAAGGTCTTTGTAAAATTCAGCAATATAATTCAGTGATCCTAAAAAACATTGTAGCTTAGTTTTATCTAAGATTTCATCAGGGAATTTAGACGCAAATTCAATGGAACGACTAATAGGTAAAATAGTATTCTGGTGAATATTATAACCTAAAAATCTCACTTTGGTTTGAAATAATTTAATCTTAAGAGAAGAAATGACTAGACCATGACTCTTAATGGTATAAAAGAATACAGTAAGATGTTTCCAGTGTTCACTAATTGATTTTGAAAAAATAAGAATATCATCTATATAAACTATGGAAAAATGACTAAATGGATTGAAAATATCATTCATTATCTTTTGACATTCACTAGGAGTATTTTTTAACCCAAATGGCATGACATTCCATTCATAGTGACCAAAATGTGTAATAAAAGCAGTTTTATATCTATCTTTAGAATGAATTTGTATTTGCCAAAAATCACTTTTTAAATCAAATTTACTAAAAATAACAGTTTGACTCAGTCTTTTAATCAAATTTTTTTTATTAGGAATAGGATATCGAATCCATTCTAAAACTTTATTTAATGGTTTACAATTGATGACTAAGTGAGGGACACATCGTTCTAATTTGGCATTTTTATTTACATAAAAAGCAGGACATGACCAAGGTGATTTACTTGGACTAATTATTCGATTTTTTAATAGTTCATTGATTTCTTTTTTACACATTTCAAGTAATTCATGATTCATTTGAATAGGTCTAGATTTCATAGGAATTTGACTTTCATGAAAATTCGTAATATATGGTAATGTGATTACATGTTTTTTCCTATGCCAAAATGCAGTAGGTAAAGTAGAACAAACGGTAGTTTCCAATTTTAATTTAAATTCATTAATTTGAGAAATAATAATCGGATTAGTTAATTGTTGATCAATTCTTTTGTAATTAATTTCTTCTTTTAAATATCTTAAATGTCTAGTTAATCGATTAATAGTTTGAGAAATAGAACAATCTTTTAATTGATTTAATTCTAACATTTCA